ACTAGGTGCGTTCCTCTAAGTCTTCCTACCAATATGACCAAGTTGCGAAAACAAGGTCAAACAACTTCTGACAGTTTATGCTGTCTTTCGCTTTACCTTAATTACCTTGATTAAAATATAAATGTATACTCTCCCTCACCTTTAAGTGTACCAGTAAGCATAACTTAACAGAGTATTTCATTTACTGAAATTTCATAAATGACTTATCTACCAAAACATATCTAACTTCTTCTGCGACATTTTGCAAAAATTTATATTTGATTTCTTGCTTCCTACTATAGGGACAATAGCTGTTGTTGCCCTGAATGACTTCGGTGTGCTCACCTCAATCTACGCACTTGCCTGTGATCAACAGGCCCGTGACGAATGGATGAACCTTGTGGAACAGGCCAAGGTTAGTTGTTACATAATTTTTCTGTCCTTACTTTACTCGAAAATTTTGCTTCTAGGCATAAGCCAGCGTTTTTAATGGAACGCTTTATTTGACCCAAGAAGCTTAAAAGGCAGGCTCCAATCATCTCTCTAAATTAGTTTACCTACAAAAATATATTCAATCTAACTTTAGGCATTGTAAGTCCATGATTATAGTGTCTATTAAAGGTAAATCCGGATCTTGAAATATCTTTTCTGGATGGCTTAATTATACACTATAGGAACGTAGTTTCCGTTTATCTGGGAACAACTATGTAGGTAATTATGTTATCATTTCAGCCAGATTATGCTTGTTAGCAAAGTGAGTGATGCAATGATTCTCCATCAGAACTTAATTGGTTGAAATTCTATATAGTAACCTTTATCTCGACGACACCAGAAGCCTTAATAAGAGCTCACTGGATCAATAGGAAGAGGTTTAGGACAACTATTCATATATTACATGACTGTCCATACACCTAACTACATTATGAAAATTCGTCTATCCTGGTATAGAGTCTGCTGATGAACACCATGAACGCAACAATCACTCCTTGTGTTTTCCTTCTGAACTCAACGTTGATGCTTAGAAGAAGTTAGAAGTTTTGGACGTCTATCTCCAAAAAAATTCAGAGCAGAAGAATATCAGTCAGGTTTGAACACTATGTTCCGATGAAACGAAATACTCCCCCTTGAATTATTTACGAAAAATAGCAGCCTTCTACTTATATTTTCCATTAATTTCCGTTTTATATTGTATGTCTTACAATAATCATTTGTATATATCATACTGAATTCACTGAGCATAGTTAGTGATTCAACAATATATTTTTATTATACGCTCACAGTGTGAGCAAAGTTAAGGGGAAGACGCAGAAACATTGAATTGCTGGAAGCGATGGCATCACAACTTCAGGCACAGTCGGTTTACAAATGCTACCCACTGAGTAATGGTCCGTCATACATAGCTAAAATTGTCCTGATTGTTTCTAAAAAATTAAAATGTACCATATTATGCGAGTTAACTACGCATAAATGAGGGCAGTCGAGGCAGTAAAAGGAGACTAGAATAACTTCGCATCGAGC